AGCATATATGAACTTCATATATACATTGTGAACAAGATTCATTATATCGCCCCTATACTTTGTCGTGTAAACGTTCAAAACGCGTTTTAATCGGCGAAGGTCTTAGTTTTGTAGTTTGATCCCAGCTTTACCTATGAGCGAGGACCTTATCAATAACATGTAGTTGAACGCTCCACAAAGTGTAGTGCGCTTTATTTCGGTTGTGGTCTGGGTCTTAGATAACATCAACGAATTGTGATGAGCTTTCTTTTACGAAGTTTTTAGAGAATTTTTATTAGTACAGACTAAGAATTTTTATTAGTACAGACTAGGTCCTACCAGAAAGTGAGTTGTTTTTTCAGCGTATCGGGCAATAAGAAAACCGCAGTGTTAAAAAATTTCCCAACGTATTTGAGAAAATTGTTCTGTCAGACCACAGTTTTACACTGAGTTCTTTCACCTTTATTTATGCTACTCACACACAAAAAAAATTAGCAAATTAAAGACGTTCTTTTAAACTGACTCTCAGCCTGGGTATGTTCTTAGAATGCCCTTAAAATTGTGGTCAGTCTCAGCCTAAACTTTCTTAACTGCTAACTCAGATTTCTAGATTGTGAAAAAAAGTCTGACAGACATTGGGTGACCAGATCAGGCGTCAACAGTAGAAAGGAAGACTGTCATGTTTAGCTACTCATGTAATACTACACAAAATTTGCACAATACCCACAAGTCCTCATTATACCGATTTTTTAACTAAACTCTACTCTCATTGGTGGTCATTTGCAACTGTCCAATAGAAACTTTGTTTATATCCCACTTTTTGGGAATATTTGGAAGATTCAAAAATGGCGGCGCGAAGATTGCAATAACAAGAAAATTAAAAAGCGATAAGCGTAAAATCCACTGATTTCTGTCAAATTAATTTATATACAAATAGTTGAGAACACAAGGAGATAAAATGCCGCCTTTAGACTGGGGAAGAATAATGGGTACTAATGTAGCGGAGCTTAGAGAAGATCTAGATGCAGCCGATGAGATGTACGGCGTCTTGGAGATGGTAAACTAAACAGATTCCCATCTTTGCCAGCTATTTCATACCAGGGTTACATACTTGAGAAATATTATCAATTCGATATCGGTTTTCTACTTTTCAAGGGCTCAGTTAATCCAGATTCGGCAGAAGCTGAAGATGTAAACAAAATGATAAAACTGTTTGAGGTTACAAAGACTGTTATGAAGGTAAATTTTAAGATTTATATTCTAGTTTGCTGGTTGTTTTATCTGAATTTTATTTAGGAGCAGATAGTCTGGAAGAACTGTGGCTAGAGGTGACTCCAGAGTTAGCGCTAGGGGCAGGATCAGTCAATTCCTGTTCAATTCATTAATGTTAATATTTGTATATAAATGATCTTAACAGTATTATTTGAAAGGCCTTGGACACTTTTGTTATTTTAGAATGAAGAAATGAATTTTTAAAGTGAAAACAAACGCGTATCTCGCATAGAAGGAAAATGCGTGGCTCACAGTAAAAGAATGTGAAGCCAGATCATGGTAACAAGGGAGTAATGACTTTCATTCTTATATAAATTATGTCAATGTAGGTTAAATCATTGCAAGTAGAGCTGGCTACTGAGGAAATAAAAGCTGGAGGTGGAGACCGAGGTAAGTATGATGTTAAGATTTGGAGTTGTTAAGTAGATTTTTGTTTTGGCTCAGAATTCTTTGACTTCTTTGTATTGTCAGCAGCTTGGCATGGTTTGCTTACAGTTTTGCATGCAATTGTTGTATTCTTATATTTTAGGGTTCATCTTCAAGTTTTGTGTGTTTGATGTTTACTAACTAACCCCATCAGTAGAAGCTGTAGTATCACATAGAAAACAATTATAAGCCAAAATGATGATTGTAGATGTGCATATATAGAAGCAATATTTAAATTTGTTTAAAACTGTTCGGAGCTAATTAAAATTAACAAAATACACAAATTTGTGTAATTCCAGAAACTGTCTGTTTATGTGAACAATATTTACCTTCAGACAGCTTAATAATGTGATCATAGACAAGACAAACACTATTGTACAACTTTAAAATACTTTTCTCTTAATAGAGCAAGAATTATTGGATGAAATTTCCCATTTAGAGAGAGAGATCCAGCAATACAGGGTGAGGTTATTTTTCAAAAGATTATCTTTCTGTTCATCATGAAAAGTAATATTTCGTATACTGTTATGAATCGAGGGTTCTTTATGGAGTGAAAAGAACTCTCGTTCATTACTAAAGTCAAATTTGTTTACAAATAGAATGGATGTTTATGATAAGTGCTTGCAAATGTATTGCACTTTCAATTGATACTTATAAGCAGTGATGCTACTTATTAGTGACTGAGAAGTCATCCAAGATTAAGTTGATGAAAAAAAGGCTGAGTCCACACTACTTGTTTGATTAAATTAAGTATTCAGTCAAATTTAGGAATTTGTTGATACATCTTAATTTGTTAGAGTAATCTCTTAGAAATTAAGATCCTATACAGGATCTTGGTTAGGATCCTGTTCCTCTTCAAGATCCTATAGGATCCTACAGGATCCTACAGGATCCTACAGGATCCTACAGGATCCTACAGGATCCTATAGGATCCTACAGGATCCTGGACAGGATTGTCACCAGGGTGAGTAATCTCTTAAAAGTTTTGTTTGCTTTTTAGAAATATAATGGTGCAGGAGGAGAAGATTTCATGAGAGAAATTCAGCAGATCGAGAACGGGAGAAGGGTATATACTGCTGCTGATAAAGTTTTTCACAGGGATTGTTAAATATATTGGCCTGATTGGAAGTAAACATGCACCTCCCTCCAATTGTCGTGTACCAGTGAATCTGATACCTTGAAATTTGGACACTTTTTAAGTTTTTGTTATCCAAATTTCGATCCCCAGAACTAAAGTTGGTATTCTAGGTTGTATGAATGGACAATCTTACGTTCCAATACACAACCTTTAATGATCAAATGCACTCTTCCCTGGCAGGAGAAAGAGAATTGTGAAACACAAGTTACAAA